CCTTCCCCGGCAGAGCATCTGGTGGATTCGAACCGTGCGCCTCTGGGATTGTAGTTGCAGCTCCTTGCCACTAGGCCACCAGAGCTCCCCTCACATGTCACTTCTGTGAGATCTTGCACCACACACTGCTACTGGTCTCTCACCCTGTTGCCTCTCTCGCATTTAGGAGGATGCAAGTCCAAATCCCATGTACCAGCTCCAGGGAAAGATTTTTCCTGGGCCAAATAAACACCACCACTGTATCAGATCTAGAAGAGACCTATCCAGACCTTGGAAATTATCACACAGTGACAGCAGTGTAAACAGAAGCATTAAGTCACAAAACTTAGCAGATGCTCAGAGGCAAGGAACTTCCCTCATACTCCCTCAAGCAGAAATCTTGCCAGTAGGGGATCTAAAAAAAAGGTTTGTTATTGTTGTTGTTATGTGCCACTGTGTAGAGACTCTTTTTTGTTGGTCTTGGTCTTCTCAGCTGTCAGTGGGGAGAGAGCAACTGTCCAGGTGAGGGGAGGGTGGTCTTCTTTGCCCATAGGGCCTGCTAACTGGGCTTGAGAACAAATTGAGCATCCCCTGCGGCATGTTTTCCATCTGTGGGGTTTGCTTGGTGACTTAGTGGTAAGTAAGTGACTAAGTGCTGCCAGTGCAAAAGTACGTGGTTCAAACCCACCAGCTGCTCCTTGGGAGAAAGATGGACAGTCTCCTCTTACGCAGTAAACTGCTTCTGAAAACCCACTGGAGGGTTAACTACGAGTCAGTCCAATTCAGTGGTACACAGCAACAAATACAGTTGATGTGTGTCTGAAATTTGTGTGCCAGTGTATTTTTTATGCAGTCATTTTGAGTGCGTGTGTGTGTGTGTGTGTGTGTGTAATTTTTTAAGAAAGATTCTAATGTCTTTCTTTCCAGTTTACTTTTTAAAAATTGTATTTTTTATTGATATTTTAATGAAAGTGTACAGAAAACTTGGATTTCCATGCATTCATTGTTGCACATTTTCCTCCCTAACCCCGCCCCCAGTTTGCTTTTCTCTTCAAAAAGATTCTTCCATTGATGTACAGTTTTTTGTTTGTTTTTTCATTGTTGGGCAGTTTTAATGTGCTTCTTCTAAAGCAGTGAAGTGAAGGGGAATTGACTACAGAGCCCTCTTTTTAACTTTTGCTTAAGTTATATTGGTCTTTCTCTGTATTAGGCCTACTCTTTCAGAAGATTCTGGGACATAGTAATGAGAGTAGTGACAGAAATGAAGAGGCTGGACAGGGATTCAATATAGGGATAGGAGTGACAGGACCAGAGAGGCGGGGCAGGGCCTTGTCTTACATGCTGTGCTGCTTTTCAGATGACGGCCCTTCCTTGCCGACCAAACAGAATGAGGAGTTCCGGCCCTTTATCCGAAGGCTGCCAGAGTTCAAATTTTGGTGAGTTACTTCTTGAAAGTATTTCAGTCAATAAATAATAAATGTTCATTCTTAAAAGATCTGTATGCTCGTGTGGCTGAGAAGATTAGACTCATGTTTTGGTTAGTGAGCAATGTAGTCTTTGCAAAGGAGAGGGAGTTCTGTTGCACTGTGGGTGTCTTTTGCTCTTAGAGACCATCAGCAGCAGGGTGTTGTGCGCACTGAGGACGGAGAGTGGTGGCAGCTGGTGGCTGACAGGCAGAGCCTCAGTGCAGGCCAGTCTAGGCCACAACTGGCCTCCTGCATATTTTCTCAGAAGTCCAAGTTCAGCAACTTGCACTGCCCCCACTGGAGTTGGTGGACATGAGCGCAAAGCAGAGAAGCTGGGTTCCCTCCAGAGGACAGTGATCGGTCTGCAGACCAGCCCTGCAGTGTGGGGTCAAGGTTATATCAGACTCTGCTGAGCAGGGATCCCATGACTTTGCTCCAGTCCTCTCTGGGGTTCTATTATGGGACTAAATGATAGTGCATCTGTGTTTGACTAGAGCCTGTCCTGTTTAGTATATGTCTGCTCCCGGAAAAAATGCGCAGCCCCATTTCAGGGTGTGTATGTGTGTCTGTCTGTCTGGGTTTCTCTGTGTGAGGGTCTGTGTGTGTCTGTGTGTCTGTGTCTCTGTGTGTGTGTGTGAGCGCGCGTCCGTGTTTGTCTGTGTGTGTCTGTCTGTCTGGGTTGTCATAGGCCAGCTGCAAGAGCCAAACCCCATTTTTCTGGGTGTGGGTGTGTGTATGGGTAGGACAGCTGTAAGCCAAGTGGTGGTCTGCAGCAGAGGTGGGCCGTGGCAGCACTAACCCGCCCCTCTCATCTCAGGCACGCGGCCACCAAGGGCATCCTGGTGGCCATGGTCTGCACGTTCTTTGAGGCATTCAACGTCCCAGTGTTCTGGCCCATCCTGGTGATGTACTTCATCATGCTCTTCTGCATCACGATGAAGAGGCAGATAAAGGTAACCTAGGATTCACTGGGGCTGCACAGTAGTAGACAGAGCCCTCTGCAGCACAGTGCAGGCTCCAAGGTGGAGGTGCTGGGCCTGTGAGGTGCTGTGGGATAGGAGATGATGACTGGTCTGAGCTGCTACAGGATAGAGGCATGCCTTAGTTACCTACTGCTGCGTAACAGAAATAAGGGGGTGATTGTGACAAAGAAAACTCAATCCATAGTTCAGGATGCTAGAAATTTAAATTCAGGGTGTCAGCTCTAGGGGGAGGCTTAATCTCGCTCATCTCTGGCAGGTGATTTTTGTCTGCTTTTAACAAATGGAGCTTGACTACTCCCCAGGGACATTCCCCTTACATTGACTGGGGCTGTGAATGGAGTAGAAGAGTGTAGCTTCCCACCCTAATCCCCTTTATAGCTGACTGGCTGATCACAACATTCCATTCTGCCAAGTCATGCCTTAACCTAGTTGACACGTATTTTGGGAGACAATTCAGTCCATGACAGTGGGTCTGTGAAGTGCTTTTGTATGTGTGTGAGGGTAGCACTGGTCCCTGAGGTGTTTTAGGGTGGGGATGATATTCTGTGAGGTGCATTAGGGTGGGTGATGATGGTTTGTGAGGTGCATTGAGGGGGTGATGGTGGTCTGTTTGGTGTTTTGGGGGAGGGTGATCTTGAGGCTCACCTGGTCCTTGGAAGCCGGTAGGGAGGTGCCCAGTTGAGTGCTGTGCACATACCTGTAGTGGGCAGTGTTTTGTGCTTGTCTGTTAGCATTGCAGGAACAATGGGCAGCTTCTTTTCGTGCATTTTACAGCCTCTGAAACCCTTTGGAAGGTCCACTGAGTCAGTTCCAACTCAGCAGAAATGAGAGTTGGTGATGCCAGTTATGAGAGGAATAGATCACTTAAGTCGTTTTCTGGTAGCTGGTTATCCAAGTCATAGTTATGCCAAGTTGGTTTTCAGATTTCCATAGGATTTCTTGGTTCTAGACCTTGTTGGCCTGATGGCTCAGGGTGTCTCCTGCTGTGGTTGCACTGGGGGTGGCAGACCACCAGGGGACTGGGCAGCCTTGCCTTCCTGGGTGTCTGCCTCCCACCTCTTCACTCCAAGGGCTAGGGTCATCCCAGACCTACTGTCCCCAGACCACCGCTCTGCCCTTCCTACTCCGGGTCGGGGTAGGATGTGTCTCCAAGCAGCTCCCTGTCATCTAGATTTCAACCACTTGAGCTGGGCCTGACCCGAGTGTGGGTAGTTGGGGCGCCAGAGCAGGACAGGGGGTCCTCACGTTAGCTGCTCCTTATAAGGTATTGGTCCCTTTGGCCAGTTCAGATGTTAAGAAAATGATTCTTTGGAGACTATTTTGAAACAACTCACATTTGTGTGTTTGTCTTCCCAGCACATGATAAAATACCGGTATATCCCATTCACACACGGCAAGAGGAAATACAAAGGGAAGGAGGACGTGGGGAAGACGTTTGCTAGTTAGAAGCTGGACTGAATCTATCACCTGACTCTCAAGAATGATTTGAGCCATTGTAACAATGCCTTTTTTCTTCACATAAAGTAGTTGATCATGAGGGAGTCGAATTTTCTTTTTAAAAAGGAGCTTCAATTATTTTTATCAGAAATATCAGGTTCTTGAAGAAACTGGCATTTAAACCAAATTGCATTGATTTCTTTTCCAGTGATGCTCACACGGTTCACACCGGTGGGTCTGTGGGGCCGTGGGCGGGTGGGTGGGTGGCGGCCTCACTGAAGTTCCAGGCGCCCTGCAAGGCTGTGAGTACAGGTGACGGCGAGGCCTGTGTGGAGGGACCTACGTTCTCCAGGACACCTGCGGGCGAGGTCACCACACCCTGGGGGCCACATCAGCCCTGCACAGGAGGGTGACGCTCAACCTGATGTCGCCTCTCTGGAAGAGCCGCACAAAGTAAAGATGACTGTAACTGTGGGTTTCATGCCAGTTTCCTAATTCCACCTCATCAAGGTGTTCAAATCGGCCTCCATCATGATGACGCAAAACTGTTCTTAGCACCGTGATTGCTTCTGAGGTCCTGGAGTGACAAATATAGATATTATATTTTAATCGTTTGCGATTACTTTGACATATTTCTTTAATATGTAAAGAGTTGTTTTGTTTTTTATTATTACTTTCCATTTGTTTTCACACATCAGCCCCTTTACAGAATCGGCAAAGCTGGTGATATCAGGCCAGTTCTGTGGGTTTTCACACACAGCTTCTCATTTTCTATGGGGGAAACGAGAACTCTGACCTGCATGTGAAATTTTTTCATGTGATAAAAAAAGCAAACTCTTAAACCTTTTACTAAGTGACTTTTTAATCCAACTTTATTAAAGACAGTGTCCCCTTTCCTGTGTTAGTCTCTCTCTGAAACACATGGGCAGTGGCCTCATTGGGTGAGCACTTGCTCCCCGCGCCACCATTCATTGCTGGCAAAGACCAAAGAGGTGGGGACTTTCATCCAACGCTGGGATGCACGCTACCAAACTTCCTTCTGGATGGCCACGTGGTTGCTCTGAGCCATGCTGTCACCTGTCCACTCACCCTAGAGTTTTAGGCATTGAAAGTGTCAAATCTTGGCCCTTCCTTGACCAGTTTCTACCTCTGAATAAGCTCCTGTTGCTTTTCAGGGTCACTTTTGTGTACCTGATCCCATCTGTAAAACTTCTGTTGAAATGACACTCCAAACCGGACTTTACTTACTACTTTTGCTTTTGGAAGAGGTTAGGAGCCCATCATTTACAGACGGTCTCCAGTAAATGCTCAGGCCTTGGATGTGGGGGTCTCAGAGGCCGTGGGACCTCAGGAGGCTGCTCTAGCGGTGGGAAGCAGCCCTCAAGCTCTTGCTCTGGGGCCCTGGGCCAGAGAATGCTGTTCAGTGATTGCTTCCAACAGTGGCCTGCCTTGGCATGCTGGCGTCTATTACCCGAGGAACATGGATTAGCTGTTCCTGAACAGCTGTGTTCTACCCTATCAGAAACAAAGTCTTCGTTTATAGCAGGGCTGTGGACTAGGCTTCAGGCCTAGTGCTGTGGGCAGCACGGGACTGCACGTGTGGAGGAGAGCTGTGAGGGGCACTGCATGCTCTCTAAATCCTCACCAGTTTCTCCCTAGATTATAAATATGCTATCTCTCCATGGAACTTGTTTCTTGCAGATCATTAAGTCCTATTTCTGGCACAAGATACATAGAGACCTGAGGGAGGTGGAGAGCTATATAGGCAGGGGTGCAGTGGAGGCATGATGGGAGTGCCATCTTGCTCGTGCCAGCCTGGGTGGAGCTTGGAGCCGTGAGCGTGGCAGGTGCTGTGTGGCGGGGGGCCCCTCACTCTCTTCAGCCCAACACAGGCCTGTCTGCTGACAGTGGTTGCCACACTGCAGGTGGAGATGGGCACAGGTGCTTGTGTTCTTTGAGGTTGACTGCCCACCAGGCCCAGCGCTGTGTAAAGCAGACGACTATATGCTGAGCACTTAAGAGTTCACAGCACCCATGCCAGCCTGTTCCTGGAATCATCTCATAAGCAAGAGCGTTTTTGTTTCTGAATTTCGTTCTTAACAGGAGAGTCTGAGGAGGAAAGGAAATCTAAAATTCAGTTCTTACAGTGAAATTTTTCCATGAAAAAAATAGTTCCCGAGGCATTAACTGTCTTTAATTTGTACAGAAATGGGGAGCCCTCTGACTCTCTCCTATTCTGTTTTCACACCATCAGCCCGAAGTGTGCTGGCTCTAGCAAGCAGATCCCATCTGCTGTCATTCTCCAGGAGTCAGGTTTATCGTTGGGTGTGGTCCCATCAAGTCGAGACCGACTCCTAGCTGGCCCGTCTGCAGGTTAAACTGCCTGGGAATTGACTGCCCATCTTTTTCCTGCAGAGCAGCTGGCAGATTTGAACCCACATGCCTTTGGGTTAACAGCCCAATTCCTTACCGCTAGGCCACGAGAGCTCCCCTACAGTTTATACTGAGAACATGTTTTTCTCCTGACACTGAGGACAACATCACACTGACGTCGAGCTCTTTCTGGGCGTTTCTGAGCCTCTCTGGTCTTGGGATTAGCGGTAGTGCCGCAGGTAAACCAGCTTCTGGGGCGGGAACTTCTCCCTGCAGAGGGGGCATTCCATCTGTGGAAGAAAGATGGGACTCCTGGGTAACCAGCTCAGGCGCCATCCTCCCACCAACGCTCTCAGGTGGACTCTATCCCTGGGGAGATGTTTGTGCGGGACATGATGCATTCTTTCTCTGCCACCGTCTAGACACTTGGGTTCACTCTGACCCTGGAAACGTGCTTCTTCTGATCCCCTCCTTCTGACTCCAGTTCCTGTGGCCTCTTAATGAACAACATAAACGTAGCTCTCCTTCCTTCCATTTAAGACAGAGGCCCCAGGCACTTTATCTAGAACCTAACATACAAAGGCTTTACGCCAGGTGGGGTCTGGGTGTGTGGAGCAGGTCCTAACGCACTGCTACATCACAGAGTGTCTGTCATACATGAGGGGCCAGGACCTTGTTTGTGCAAGATGGCTGACTTGCAGGCAGAAGCCCAAGTGCTGTCTCCGGCCTGTTGACACAGTCTTGGTACTGCAGTGCCCGCCGTGCTATGCCCCTCACCTTTCCCAGGAGGATCCCAGCTTGCTTAGTGGGAACCCGAGCTGGCTGTGCTGCAGCTGAGAGCACCAAGTCCTGAGCCAGACTGGACAGTATCACTTTAACCCCTTAATTCCTCAGCTGTCCTACCCGTGGTGGGGTGGGGGACAAAGAGGACTTACTCTGCAGACCACAGAGGTCTCAAGTCTGGCCCTGCTCAGGGGGACCCTCTGACCTCCCCTGAGAAATAGAGACATCGATGGTCTTGAGCATACTTCTGAGAGTGAATGGACGTGCCCTCTGCCTGGGTCACCATGCGCGGGGTGCTCTAGCCACTAGTGCCCATCAACATGTGGGGCTTGTGTGGGCAGTGAAAGCACAGATGGCAAGTGACGGGTAAAGAGCTGGTGTGTGGGCACTGGGCTCCTTCCAGAGGCAGAACTCGGATGCCAAGTGCAGCCGCCTGACTGGGCGCTTTGGAAAGATGTCCATCCCTCCAAAATCAGTGGGAGCTTTAGAGGTAGGCTCCAGGGCCTGCTCTGTCCTGTGCCCACCACACCCACCTTGGTGTTGCACCACTCGGTGATGCACTCCCAGCAGAAGAGGTGCCCGCAGGGTGTGGCTGTTGCATGCCGGCGCTCCTCCAGGCACAGGGTGCACAAGGGGCTTTTGGGGGCGGCCCGCTCCTCCACATGGCTCCTGAAGGGACAGGGCAGAGGTCAGCACCCAGTCCCAGCCTGCTCAGTCCCGCACCTCTGCATACCTGCGGTGGGACAGGTGACGGTGCAGCCTCCACTCCTTCCTCGCCCGCTGCCTCTGCTGGAAGTTGTACACGTGGACCCCTACAGAGAGCGTCAGGTGCAGCAAGGAGATGGCCCCCAGCAGCTTGTAGGTGGCACGGGCCCTGAGCTCCTCTCCAGGTGGGTGGTGGGTACCAAGCTGTGTGAGATGGGTGGCCTGTCAGGACCTGGGAGATCAGCTGGTGCCCAGCACTTCCCATGCAGCCTTCCCCCAGGGCCCTAGAAGTATCCAGGAGGAGGCCAATCTGCCCTCCTGGGCATGTGGTCTTGAAGGAAGGAGAGGTGAAGTGGAGGAGGTCCCTACATGTGGCCAGGGAGCTGCAGCCATGCGAATGGACATGGTGAGTGAGGATGGCCGCTCCACTACGGTGGAGAAGCAGCCCAATGCTAGAGGAGGCATCTAGATCCCACTGAGGACATGTAGGTCTACAGTGCCCAGTGGGCAAAGTGGGCAGAGGTGAAACCAGGTGGTAATACCAGGGCCCCCACTGGGATTGGGGAAAAGGTCAGTGAGTCATCAGGGAGCAAATGTTTTTTAGGAATAATGTCCAAGGACTGGCTCTTGGCAACCCCAGCATAAAAGATGAGCTGACTGAGGGTTAGAGCTGCCCAGGAAGGTGCGCTCAGGTGCATGGGGTGGTGCTTGCTGGAAGCCCAGAGTGGCTAGGCTGCTGGGAACTTTTAAGACACATGCCCCCTGTTTTAGCACATAGCCTTGAGGACCCTCAGCTTCTGAGGTCTCACGGTCATTCATGTGTGTGTGACTGGTCTTCCAGGACTCTGCGTGATGCCCGGCTGGGAGAGCAGGAGGGCTAGTGATGCTGCTACTGTGGAGTCATCCTGTGACACCTTGCATGGAACCTTGAGGAGATAGTGGGTGACACACCTGAGAATGGCACCTGGCAGAGTTGGGGGGGGGGGTGAGTAGCTGGCATCTGGGTTCATGTATGCACGCCAGCACTGTCTGGGTGACCCAGGACAAGCTGCTGTCCCATTTGCCTCCGTTCTGCAATCTGAATGGACTGTCCCTAGGCTTATGCAGAGGTCTGTTGGGACAGTGGGGCTCAGGTTGCCCCCAGGGCACTCAGTGGCACTGGTAGGACAGCTGTGTGGGCTGCAGGGCAGACTCTATTGCATAAAACTTGAAAAAACTGGGCTTCCTGTGTCTTTAAGAAACTATTGCTGAACAAGACTATTTTCCAGACAGAGGGTTTGGGCCAGCCCAATGTGGAATTGGGGTTGACCACCTGAGGCTGGAAAGCCACGGCCACAAAGATCAGGGCCACTGGTGGCCTGGCTGGACTCACGTAAGTGATGCCTGTGAGCCTCTTGGAAAGGTGGTAGAAGACACCGCTGATGTAGAACCAGGCGACGTGGAGACGCCGCAGGTAGGTGAGGCCCCGTGAGAAGACGTGCACTGCCTGCAGGAGCGCCCTCCGCTGCTGCTCACTGAGCCGGGCAGCTCGCTGGTGCACCCAGAGCCGCACACCCGTCCGGCTGCGTGTGCCCGGCCCGATGCCGCCGTTGGCCTGCAGCTCGTGTTCCAGGTGCAGTAGCGCCTTGTCCAGGATGTAGGGAAGGGCTGTGTGCAGTGCAATGAGCACGCTGCGGCGGAGCCTTGAGGGTACCCGGCGCTGGGACGGGTCCACCTGGACTAGACCCACGTACTCCTCCCCGAGGGTCTGGTAGCCTGGAGGGGCAGATGCCTCATGAGGACCCAGCAATCCCGCCCCACTCCTCACTGCTGGCTCTGGGGTCTGCACTGGGTCATTCCTCTGACTTGAGGCTTTCCCACAGGCTACCCTGCCTCCACCTCTGTCCCTTTCTCTCACCTCTTGGGCCGTGGCACCAACTTCTCCCAGGGGTACAGCCCAGTCCCACAAGGCCCCTGCCCAAGCCCTCTGCCCTCACTGCACCCCCCACTGCCCCCCAGTCACACTGCTACCTTGCTGGTCCTTTACCACACTGAGTAAATGTCCTCGCTGGTGTTTTACACTGCTAGTGGGAAGGTCTTCCCAAAGACACACCCAAGTCATGCCCTGTGTTCTTTAAAGCACTCAATGTTTCTAGGACTCTGTGCAATGGTGTCCCTGCTGCTCACAGTCTCCTGAGCCTTCCTCACTCCCTCACCCTCCCTGTAGGGCTCTGCAGGGGTCATACCTGCCAGTGTGGTGAGGCTGAAGTAGGCTAGGTCAGAGAGCAGCTCAATCTCCTTCCTCCATTCCAGCCACTTCCTTGCACCTAAGGAGAGAGCGGAGCAAAGGCGTCAACCAGAAGTAAGGGAGAATCTAAGGATGCAGGACACCCTCCCAGCCCCCTACTGCTGGAGCAGTGAGTTCCGGCCCTCCCTGGGCTCTGGGATGCCCTATAAGCCCCAGTTTCTATGGTTAAACACTTGGCTGCTGACTGAAAGGTTTGGGATTCAAATCTGCCCAGAGGTGCCTCCAAAGAAAGGCCTGGCAGCCTACTTCCAAAAGGCTGTGACCATGGACAACTCCATGGAGCATCTACTGATACACAAGAGGTCACTGTGAGTGAGGGCTGACCTGATGGTAATTGGCAAGAAGGGAATAATAACCAGAGGGAGCTCTGGTGGCCTAGTGGCAAGAAGCTGCACTGCAATCCCAAAGGTAAGTGGCTCGGGGCCACCAGCTGCTCCGTGGGAGGAGGACAGGCCATCTCAGATGATTTTAACTGCCTCTGAAAACCTATAAGAAGGTCATCGATGGGTCATTTCTGACTCAGTGGTACGCAACACCACCACCACACGAAGAAGAATGTGTTGTCAGGATCAGGAATCATCAACAATTTGCATTATGTCGATGATACAACTTTGCTTGCCAAAAGCAAGGAAGACCTGAAGCACTTGCTGCAGGAGATCAAAGACTACAGCCTTCAAGATGAGTTACATCCCAATCAAAACAATCTTCACCACTGGGCCAAAAGGCAACATCCTGGTAGATGGAAAAGATTGAAACTGCCAGCAATTTCATTTTACTTGGATCTACAATCAACACTCATGGTAACAGATATCAAGAAATTAAAAGATGCATTGCCCCTAAAGAAACCATAACCACCACTCAAGCAGATTATATGCACACCCATGTTTATTGCGGCTTTGTTCGCAATAGCAAAGAGCTGGAAACAACCCAAGTGACCATCAACAAATGAATGGACAGAGAAGCTCTGGTATATTCACACAATGGAATACTATGCAGCATTGAAAAACAAGGAACTCATGAAATAGTATACAAAATAGGTGACCCTGGAGGACATTATGCTGAGTGAAATATCTCAGTCACAAAAGGACAAATATTACATAGGGCCACTATCGTAAAATGGGACTGATATCGGGTCGGCGTTGAGGGAAGATAGGAGGGGATGAGGGAGAGAACTGTTTAAAAGGGATATATGATTGGGTATTATTGTCATGACAGGAGTCCAGAATGAAGGCGGCACAGTGGAGTGGACTTGGGGGGAAGGACTGCAAAACAATGAAAGAGTTTTTACTTTTCAAGGAGAAGAGTGAATTGGGGGAGTAGGAGTGGGCAGGGAGAAAAGTGCAATAATGAATTACTGGAAACCCTAAATCTCTGTAAATTTTCATTAAAATTAATAAAATTTACCAAAAAAAAAGAGACATGTTGCACTGGGAAATAAATCTTTTATAAAGGACCTCTCCAAGGTGCTAAAGAGCAATGATGTCAGGTTAAAGTCTAAGGTGTGCCTGATCCAAGCCATGTTGTTGTTTGCCATGGAGTCAGTACCAACTCATAACTGACCTTCTAGCAGGTTTTTTCAAGCAGTAACTCACATGGGAGATTGCCCATTCTTCTCCCATGAAGCATCTGGTAGATTCAAACCATGTGCCTTTGGGGTTGCAGTGTGCCACTTCTTACCATTAGGCTGCCAGAGATCCAAACCATGGTGTTTTCAATTGCTTTCTTGTTCTTGTTAGGTGCTGTAGAGTTGAGTAAGACTCATAGCGATCCTAAGAACAACACTAGTGTCCTATCCTATGCCACCTTCACACTTCCTGGAAGGTGGAATATTGCTTCCTATGCATGTGAAAACTGTACCGTGAACAAGGATAACAGGAGAATTGACTTTAAATTGCGATGTTTGTTGGTGAAGACTACTAAATATCCCATGGACTGCCAAAACCACCAAGCCTGTCTTGGAGAAAGTGCCACCCAGGTGCTACTTACATGGTGGAACTTTTTCTTACATACTTCGCGCTTGCTGTCCGGAGTGGACAGTTCTTGGAAAAAGACTGGGAAAGGCAGAGAGGAAGACCACCCACAAGATGGATTGATACAGTCACTACTACAATGGGCTTGAGCATATCAGAGGTAGTGAGGATGGCACCAGATAGGCAAGGTTCCGATCTGTTGTTCAGAGGGTGGTCGTGAGCAGTAGCAGTTGGCTTGATAACCACCTTGTGGGGTTGCTTTGAGAATACTAAGATGATTTAATATTTATAAATCACCAAGAACAATGCCAGGCAGAGAAAGTGCTAAGTGTTTTTAAAATAAATACACACTTGAACAATTTTTCTGGTCATGTCACTCTCCTACTGAAAAGCTGCTGGTGGCAACCAGTCTGGCATTCAGAACCCTACTTGGCAGACTCAGCCAGGCTTCAGCTGCTCCAGACAAGTCTGGCTGTCCCCTGAAAATTGCCCAACCCTCTTTTCTGCCTGTGGCTCGGTTCCTGCTGCCAGGAAAACTCGCCCCCGGAATCCAACCGTGGGGCTCCTGGAGAACTGAGGCATCCATAAAAAGCGCTTGTCCTGCCACTACCATGTACAAAACCTGGCTGGCATCCACTTCTCTACCCACTACTTGTCCTGGACACTTCCCGGTGACCCACTCTGGGGAATTGACTCTGGGAAGGAGTAGAAGTCAAAGGTGAGACCTTCTTGGCTCCTGGGTAACGCCCAGACAACTTGCAGGTGGGCAAAGTGACCGGCCAGCTACAGTGGAGTGCCATCCTCGACACTGGGGCCAACACGGGGTAACAACTACAAAAGTAACCGCGACACTGCCACAAGGACAACGACGCTTCCTGAGCTGCCTGCTGCATTGGGCATCCAGCACGCTGTCTCAATTTAATGCTCCCAGAGGCACTGCAAGAGACTTCGCCGTGAGAGTCAAAAAGGGCGACCCGACCCGCACCAGAGCAGGGTCCACGCGCAGCCGCTCACCTGCCAGGCTGTGCAAGGCGCCACCGGCCGCGCTCCGCAGCCCGTTGCGGTAATAGTCGTCTTTCTGGGCTGCGCGGACCACCGCCGGGGGACTGGCGGCTGCAGCGGCCATAGTTCAATGTCACGAGTGGCAGGCTTCAAGAGTCCATTGAAGCCACAACCCCCCCAGGAGGCGTGGCCTAATGGCCAAGTGCGCCGGGAAGAGGGAGCTGGGTGTGCGGCGCAGACATTGTGCATCACTGGGGGCGGGGGCCTGGATAGGCCTTGTGCGGCCTTGTGCAGGGAGGGGCGGAGCCGGAGGCGTGGCTGTGGGCCGCATCGGGGCGGGGGCCGTGACGGGCTGGTACAGTTCCCGGAAGATGTGGAGAGCGGGGGCCGTGGGCGGTCCCGTGGGCGGGGCGAGGCCCGTCTTGGGCGGAACCAGGTCCAGGAGCGCTTGGAGCCTGCCTCCCAGCTCTGTCTGCAATCTCTGCAAGTTTCCTCTTGCCTCATTTGCATTATTAGCTCATTGTTCAGTGCGGGAGATGTAGCACGGCCCTGTTTTACGTATGGGGAATTTGGAATTGCAGAGCAGTTCCGTTGTTCAGCGTTAGCAATCTGAGAACCTAGATTACAGGGCGGACAGCTCTGCTCTGAGAAGGGAGGACCCTAAAGAGCCCCTGACCTGTCCATTTGGTGGCATCCATTGGTGATGGGATCTCAGTGGGAAAGGGGGCAGGGCTGAGGCCAGTGGGCACAAGAAGGGCGCAGATGTGAGTGGGAGAGTAAGGAAGGGTGAGGAATGGAGGCGGTAAAACGGGCTAGGGACCTTCTCGATGGGCCCAATGATGGAGCTGATTCTAAGGATGGCGGAAAATAGGTAGGATAGCTAGACCTTGAAAACTGCTTATGTTGCTTCGTGGTGAATGGAGCGTGGGACACAAACCCTTGCACACAGCCGGGGACCATTGGACCAGAGGCAAGTGTCCTCTGCTGCCACATGCAGCAGCAAGACTGTAGCAACCCCAAGGCTGGAAGCCGGGATTCCATCTCGATCTACTGGTGCGGTGCTGCTCAACACTCTTGCCATGGCCACACTGTCTCAGTTATCATCCCAGTTCTTAGCACCTTTGTGGCTCTTTATTGAACTAGAGGAGAAGACATCTGGCAGTTGGTAGGGGCTAAGTGGTATTTGTTGCGTGATTGACTGTGAAAACAATGGTCTGGGCATCTGACCACCAGTAAATTCACAAGGGGGAGAATCCTCATGAAAAACATAAACACCACAAAGCTGATTTCTGTGAGGTCAGGCATGTTCCTAGGCTCCCATACCTTCTATCAATCCTGCCACTAGCTGTCCCTCTTATGGCTCTCACTAACACTACTCACCAAAAAACCCAGACGCTGACACCTGGCTGAGTCAGATCCATAGATTTCCCAGGCTATTTGATGAGGGGAGACTGCCCGTCTTTCTCCTGTGGAGCAGCTAACTCTGGGGCATTCCAACCTCCAACCTTAGTTAGCAACCTGACACATTATATACTGTGCTACCAAGACTCTACTTTCACTCATTCTTTGTTATCAAATTGGAGCCTACTCACAGCTGACCCTCCAGCAGGTTTCTGAGGCTGTAAACTGCACAGGAGATTACCTATCTTTCCCTTGAAGAGCTGTTGGTAGATTTGAACCACCAGAGAGGTGAGGCCTTTGGCTTAGCAGTACAAACCCCTAAGGAGCAGGCCACCAGAGCTCCCTTCTCTGCTACTAAATTTGATTCACTTCCCTACTACTAGGGGCTTAAGGCCTTTTGTTCATTGGGTCGCTATGAGTTATGCTCGATTCAAAGGCAATCACCAACAACTATTAGGTAATTCATTGTAATGGCCACACAGAACTCAGAGATAGTACTAATGATCATGAGATCTACCAGGGAAGTAATTTCTCTGTCACTTGCTATACATCTGAGAACAGGACAATGACTAAGGGTAACAGAAGAAGAATCAATGCCTTTGAGCTGTGGTGTTGGAGAAGAGTGCTGAATATCCCATGGATGCCAAAAGAATAAACATATATGTCTTGGAGAAGGTGCAGCCAAAGTGCTCATTGGAGGCAAAGATGATGCAGTTTCATCTTACATACTTTGGGCATGTTGCTTTGTTATTGTTATGTGCTGTCGAGTCACCTGCTACCCATAGTGACCCTATGTACAGCAGCCCTGAAACCTGCCCTGTCCTGAGCCAGTCCACTAAATCTACATAGTAACCCCCATTTCCCCAGTTACTGTATCAATCCATCTCATCCAGAGTCTTCCTCTCCTGTGCTGTCCCTCCACCCATCCAAGCATGAGTTCTTTCTCCAAAGACTGGTTTCTCTTGGCCATGTGCCCAAAGCATGTGAGACAAAGCTTCAAAATCCTAACCTCCAAGGAGAAACTTGGTTTGTTTTCTTGGTGTTCCATGATATGTTCAAGACTCCTCTCCAGCATCACTACTCAAAGGCATCGATTCTACTTCTGTCATCCTTAGTCATTGTCCAGTTCTCTGATGCATAGCAAGTAATTGTGAAGACCATGGCCTGGATTAGGGCATGTTGCTAGGAGAAATTATTCCTTGGAGATGGATGTCATGCTTGGGAAGGTGGAGGGGCAGTGAAAGAGAGGAAGACCCTCAACCAGGTGGATTGATACAGTGACTGCAGCAGTAAGCTTGAGTGCGTCAGAGATTGTGAGGACGGCACAGTGTAGGGCAGTGTTCAGATCTGTTGTTTATAGGGTCACTATGAGTTGTACTTGATTTGATGGCACCTAGCAACAGCAACAACAACAAGGAAATAACAAATTACAAGGGACTCTGGTGGTGTAGTCCGTAGGGATTTGCCCTGCTAATTCAAGCCATGCCTCTGGTGGTTTGAATCCTTCAGTGACTTCATTGGAGAAAGACAATCTTCTAGGTGACTTACAGATTGACAATCCACTGGTGGGGGCGGGGGGTCAGTCAATAATTTTGACTGGACAGCAATGAGACAGAGAACAAATTACAGGGCATGTTGGAAACACTTAAAACACATTTCTTCAACCAGGACAGCTTCTCCTCAGACATGCTCTCTGGCAGTCCTTCTCTAACCTTTAATCTTGAGGTGTTAGACTCTGTGCTCAATCAAGTGTTACAAAGCTCTTTCAGTTCCCATGTTCCCACCCTCCCCCACCTCTGCCAGTAAGCCTAGGCCAAGCTGCTTAAGACTGGCTCCCCTGGGCAGCAGATTAGATCTGCTCTGTCGCACTGGCCTCTGGTTCGTCACTGATTTCCTCTTTCCTAATATAAACATTTGGGGGCTCTGATGGTGTAGTCTGTAGGGGCTGGCTTTTATAACTCAAAGTCTGTGCTTCTCTGTGTTTTGGACTCCACCAGCACCTCTGGGGAGTCGCATGGGCAATCTCCCATGCAATTTATAGTCTTGAAAACCCACTGAAGGGTCAGTTATGAGTCAGCTCTGACTCGATGACAACGAGTGAGTGCGTGTGACCCAGCCATGCAGTGAGAGTTACACCTATAATAGGTAGAAAAGTCATATTGAATAATCCACCTAGCATATTGACACAGCTACTGAGGCCCTCAGGTGGACAGAGGTGGGTAGAGAAGAAGGACAGAGGAAGCCCAGACTCAGCAGTTGCTGAGGCCCTGCTGGATGCTTTAGATGTCTTGGGGTTGAGTCAGAGAACATTTGGCCGTGGGCAGCCATGGAAGTTTCTTTTCTGCAGAATGGAAAGAGAAGGCAAAGGATAGAGGCAGGGTAGCCAGTAGAGACTCCAGGCAAGGGCATGGGGGCAGGCGGGCTGTGGTTCCTTGCTGCCTCTCTGCACCTCACCTCTAGGGGCTCAGACAGCAGCTGGCCTGATGGATAAGCTCAGAGCTCAGTGGGAACCTGGATTCTGACCTCACCTTGTTAGTGACAGGCATAACCCCACTTAGAGGGCAATGGTCTGTATTCGTCTTCTAGTGCTGCTGTAACAAAAGTACCTTGGATAGGTGACCTGAGAGGACAGGAAGGGATTGTGTCACTGTTTTGGAGGCTAGAAAACCAGATCAGGGCCTCGCTCCTTTTCAGTAGCCATGGGCACTGCTCAGCTTAAAGGTGGATGTAGACATGGCGTCTCCTTACCTCATCCTCCTCTTGTCTCTGTTCTGCTCCATTTAGCCAGTGTTCAGAGAATTGGGCTCAGCATTGACTCTGCTACTCTAGTGTGACTGCATTGTTACAACAACAGACACTTTCCCCCCAAACCAACAGGGTTCATACTCACAGGTACAAAAATGAGGACTTCTCTTAAGTTTTGGGGGACCCAGTTCAGTCCATGAAGGTATGACTTAGTGGTTTCACAGGTTCCACCTTGATACGGAAGCCCCCTGACCCTTTGGAGCTCTGAGTGTTTTCTGGGGCTAGAAGCTGTCTTCTATTTCGGTGGCCTGGAAGGACTGGGTTTGGCCAGTGGCCTGTTCAGATACTCGAACGTGGTCACATTCTCTGGCTGGCTCACATTGTGGTTCTTGGCCCAGGAGCCCGGGCTGATTTTTTGCACAGTGAATGCTTATTTTCATGGCATCCTTCCCAGTTGGAGCCAAAGAAGGTTTCCTAGAGTAAGGACTCCTCCATTCCTGTTCTCTATAGGCTGGCCCCGAGACAGGGTTGCACATGTCCCAAATGTCTTCTCATCTATAGAATGGATTCAAGTTCTACCCTCACTGTACATTTATGGGAAGACAGTGAAACAGTGTAACTTAGGTTTCTTTCCAGGACATGGAGTTGGGTCTTGGACTGCCCTGGCCTCAAATATTGTCTCAGCTATTGAAGGGCACTGTTGCCTGTTGGTCAAGGTATGGGCATTTTTCTATTCTTTTTGTTGTTGAGGTGTAAGCCAGACTGAAGTCTTTGATCTTCAGCAGTAAGTTACATTGGCTCATAGGCAGGAGGGAAAGGCCCTCTATGAGGTGGATTGATTCAGTGACTGGGGTAATAGGGATGGGTGTATCAGAGACAGTGCGATTGGCACAGGACAGAGCAGAGTTTAGGGCTGTTGTACATATCATCGCTATGAGTCACAAGTGACTCGACGGCACATAACAACAACAACAACAA